ATTTGGGACCAGAACTTCTGTTGATAAATAACACTTATGTTAAGTGAGTTTTCTCTGATTTTATGATCTTTTTGCCATGATTACGGAGTAAATCACACAGGCATTATCCGAATCTGGCTTCCTCCACTGATTTTGTTTGTTAGAAGCCAGCTGGGCTAGGTCACAAATGGAGATTGCAAGATTTCAGGGTGCTGCAACTGTCATAAATACGCAACGGTTGCCAAGTGCCGTAATTTTGATCATGTGACTGTGGGGATGCTCCAATGGTTGCATGAGGACACATAATGAAAAAAGTGTTAATTTTCCTTTTTTTTAATCCGTGATAACTTTGAACAGTTGCTAAACGAATGGTTGTAAGTCGATGACCACATGTATTGAAAAGGTTGGTTTTATTATATTAACACTGGGAAACTCTGAGGCTACAGCATAGGTATTCAAATGCTGCAAGTTTTGTCCAGATCAGCTTTAATCAGGATATCCATCAATTACATAGGATTTCAATATCCACAATTCCCATGTGGCACAATCTTTAACCTGAAAAATATGAGGTTGATGGCTAATACATCTGAGATGTAACAAGTTGGGGATGTTTATCCAAGAGGTGGGTTGCTACCAGATTGGCCCAGATCGGCCAAACCGGTAGTAGCAGTGGCAGGAAGCTCCACCCACCCGCCCAGATACTTCTTTGCATGCGCAGAAGCTTCACGCGTGAGCGCAAGTATGCACGGGAACACGCCCGAACCAGTAGTAACAAAATTGGCAACCCACCACTGTCACACACCCATATCACCAAGACATCTTGGTATCTCACAAACTATTCAAGTATAGAACTCAACCCACTTTTCTTTTACCACTTTTTAGAAGCAAGATGGGATTTGTTGTTTTGTTTTTGTTTTCTGTAAAATATGAAGTTAAAAATGCTTGAGCTACAAAACTGTAAAATGGAGAATGGTTGCTTACGAGCTCCTAGATTAGTGAAATCTTACCCTATCCAATATAAGTGGAACAGAAAAAACAAATCTATAGCTAAAGCTAATAACAATTGTCACCAAAGTTCTAGGACAAATCCCCTTAGCCAACTTGCTATGGGACAACCAGCCATGGCCAATTTGCCATGAGACAAGTTACACTAATGCCTAAGAAATGGTGGAATAAAATTATTAAATGAAGGAGGGACAAAATGAAATGTGAA